TTTCTTTCTTTCTTTCTTTCTTTCTTTCCTTTCTTTCCTTTCTTTCCTTCTTCCCTTTCCTTCCTTCCTTCCTTATCATTTATCTATTTACACATACATGTCAATTCACTTGTCCAGTTTCTACTTCTCAAATCTTTACCCTCATGAAACTAATCTTCTCAGTACTCCCTGCCCCAACTCTTGAAGATGACCTTCACTGCTATTTTATAAGGAACATAGAAGATATCAGATTAAAATTCAGGCTTATTTCTATCTCTCAACCTATATCCCGCACCCAACCTATTCTATTTAACCTCTCTTTACAAAGGAGAGCTGTCTTCCTTCCTAAAACCAACCCTCCATCAGTGAACTTATCAACCAATCCCCTCTTTCAATTATTTAAACTCTTGTCTTTTATGTATTAAACATCATCCTGTCAACTGTAAATTTCCCATGAAAAGACTTGTAATTCCTTTGATTAAAATAAAAACAAAAACAGAAAAGGCTGTCCTTTTCTCCATAACTTCTGAATCTGTTATTACCCTTTCTCTCCCCCTTTTTCACAATTTTCTCTAAAGATTTGTCTCTATTTCCAAACCTCCTAGTAAGTCCGGGAAGATTCTTTTGTACCTATATTGTTAAGTACTCTATTACTCAATGGACACAGCGCTTCTTAATTTTTGCATTGCTGAATCAAGTGGATACAACTTAATGCTCATCTGTTTCGGTTTCTTGACATTTGACAGTGATGACTGCTCTCTCCATCATAAACACTCTCTTCATTGGATTTCATGACATAATATAAGCTTCTTTTTCAGTTCTTTTACCAAGCTCATGTTGGCAATCCTCTGGACTGGGACCTTACAGACTTTTCTCATTCGAGATCTTCTGCCAAGGCAACCCCATTTATATCCATTACTTCCATTGTCCCCATTCACACATTAGATTTACAAATTTATATTTCTAGATACATATCTGAGCTCTGGAGTCTAGACTGATTTATGTAACTACATTTCTATCAGATGTCTCAAAAATACCTCAGATTTACTGTGGCCAAGACCATACTCATGTGTTTGACTCTAACCAATCCTCCACCAGAGTCTCCTGCTTCAGTGAATATCTTTTCACATAAGTCTTAAATCTTGATGGTCTCTTTATCTTTTCCAATCTTATGCCTCCTATCCTGTCTGTCACTGTTGATTCTACCACCTTGGAATCCTAATATCCATTCACTTCTCTACTATTTCCAGCTCTCAGCATTGCTTTTATGGGCTCATTATGAGTCTACCTAAATTCTACTGTTTTTTCTTCTCTTAATCTCCCTATTGCAGTCAAAATAATTTTTCTGGAGAGCAAATCTAATCCTGTCCCCTGTCACAGTTTAAAGGTTTTCAATGGATCTGCATTGCTCTTAGGAAAAAGATTAAACTCTTTAACATAGTCTATCCATCTTTAGATAGACTATCCTCAGCCGACCTCAACATATACACACTGGGCCATTTTCTTTTCCAGTACTTCTTCCTGATGCATGGTCTTTTTATGTGCTATTCCCACCAAGTGGATTGGCCTTCCTGAAAGTTCTTCAAGTAAATTCTTGTTCATTTTCATAAATCAGCTCAATTATCACTTCCTCAGGATAGCTATCCGTGACCCCCTTTGATTAGAATAATAATTCTTGTTATTTATACTATCAGAGGCCTATATCCCTCACTTTTCTAGTAGTTGTAGCAGTTGTCATTTCATAAATATTTGTGTGAT